CCTCAATTCAAAATATTTTCAGCATCAAAGTTCCCACAAAGATAGAGAGACAATGACTAAATTCGGATGTGTGGTGGCTCCATGGGAGGAGGCATCTCTATTGCCAAGTTCAGGAGCGGATTCCACATACATTAAGAAATAGTGCGCTTTTTAGGTTTGATGAAATTGTGCCATACCTAGTGTTTCGTAATTCTGCACAGAAATCTGGGAAGAAACCGCATTCTTGGCGCATCTCAGAGAGTCCGATCAATACCAAGAATTTTGGTCTCTTACTTCCAGATAGGGAGCCTTAAACTGTGATGAGTAAACCCTAGTGACCTCAGTAGATAGCCTGTTATTCTTTTCAACTATGAAGTAATGGGAAAATGGAAAATCGTCTGCGCGATCGCCATTCCACGGGTTTATAAAGTCTCCCATTCAAGAGTGGTATGTACGGGGCCCCATACAGACAGCCCAGATTCCCATAAGTGCGTGGGAAATTTCATTCACAAATGTGCCGACATTTTTTTTGTCCCGAACTCCTCTCCCTGCCTTTTTTCCCTCGCTCTAGAAAGCCTATAATGAGCCTTGTACTTTCAATACTGAATGTCAGTAATCGAAAAGAACTCACTTTATTGTCTGAAACCAATTTCTTCTCATCAATCGTGTCAAATTTTTCGAGTTTATGGGGGCATTTCTCCGTCACATAGTCAATACAACCAGTTAAGCATTTATCTGAAATGGGAATAACTCATGCACGTATAAACTGGTCAATAACCATGACCGCCGCACAACCGCACGCGACAATGACATATTTTTTGTACAACTCATAATTCACTTCCATATCATTGTGGCTTGCTAGCTCATAAGGGATCAAATTTGAGACTCTTGAAACTTTATGACGTGAATTTCCCAACTTGAAAAGGATGATGTAAAGGCAAAATGCGAAGAGCACAATGGAGGGGCACAATTAATGTACTATGCTCACGGGTCAAATCACGGACAGGTCGAAAAATCGTTCGATCCAATCGTCGCTGGCTTTCTGGTTTTAAGTCACTATATACAATAAAGAGGGCGGAAGTGGTGTAGTGACAAGTGGCGCGCTTACCACGCGAGCGGTCCGGGGATCAAATCCTGGGTCGTGAGTCGCCCGGGCCAACCAAGCCTTCCATCCCTCCGGGGTCGGTTAATTGGTACCAGGAAACACTGACTTGTACATCGGCTGGCCCCGCAAGTCATTGTATAGGCCACATCGCATTCAAACGCCACTACGAATGTACAAATGGAAGTAGAATGCGTGCCGCATCCCAAAAAGGGATTGATCAACGGCAAATGCTTTATCCTTTTTATCTTTTGTCTTGGATAAAATACAAACCTGAACTTGCTGTTGTCCCCGCAAATGATAGCATAGGCCATTATTTGCAAAAAAATGACTGCGATTTCTAGTTGAAATCGATTACATGGCATGACCTATTCCTTCAGGACTTCACTGACCCCTCTGGCTCTATGCTTCGGCGAGGATGATGGATGGTTTACCCCTGTTATCCTAGCCTTGTGCTGGCTGGTCATGGACGTAGTGAAGTTTCGTTCTTGTTTCTGATCGGTCTCTGTGCTGCCTACAGCGCTATGATTTCACATGTCGTGACTGTCGCGATCAGCGCAGTTTTGCTATCTCACAGATAGGAATGTGGATGGATAGGGATGGATAGGTGAGGCGGATTCCTTTGGAGATACTTCGGGATCACGTGTTTCCAGCCGTGAGATCGCCCCTATATGATGCGAAACTCGTTATCTCCACCTGATGAGGTTCACATGGTGGATGTGTGGGTGACGAAATAACGGGCAACAATTGGGACGCCGCCGATCAACAGCTTTATGTCGTCCATGATCGCGTGCCTTTTGCCTTTCGGAAAGATGTCTGATAAGCATT